AAAGCTGCTCACTGTTGAGGAGAAAGCTTTGCTGAACTTTCATGGAAGACCTAAACATGTCCTTCACAGAATGCCAGGCTATAAACAACATTATAGCGTCTCTGCAGGGGCAGCGTTCCACAAATCACACAGATATTCTTCTTAAGCAGAGATGTACTGGGTACTTTTTTTTCACGTCAGCATATAGGCGAATTAAGGGAAATTGTGAAAGCTGATATTTCATGTAGCTTCAGATGTGCGTATTTCTCTCGGAAGGAGTGGAATAAAAGCCATAAACAAAGAGGGTGTATTTCAAGGCTGAAATGAGGGAAACATCTCAAAGACATATCTATAAGAGAAGGTGGCTGTTATTTCCGAGCTCGATAAAGCAGGGAAAGTTTAGCACGGTCTCAGCGATGTGGGGTTAGGGTGGAATGACACCCTAATGTCTGTGTCCCTGAGACCGATTCCCTAATGCGGAGTCAGAGGTGACACACACATCACACACTTGCAATACGGAATAAACAGAAATGATTTTGTTTTGCTTCCTTGGGTTTGCGATCTATTTCCGTAAGCCTGCTGGAGGCCAGGTCAGCAGTACTGGTGTATAAGGGTCTTTGTGCTGAATGTGGTTAGGTGTAGCCACCCTATGTCCAGGGTAGTCAGGTGTTACTAATGACAGGGGTCGTGGAAGTGAGGCTTCCCGTCCCCGGGGGTTCATTAAGGGCCGGGAGGAAGCTTAACGAGTTTTTCCCTGCGCTTTGCATAAATGAGGGCCAATGTATCACCTGGCCACTCCGAAGCCATCGCTCACGGGGCCTGAAACGACAGGACAATCCCTCTGCGTCTTCCCCTGGACAGGGGACAGCTTGTCACTGCGTCCCCAATGTGTATTGCCCTGCCCCCTAGGCACGGGGGACCGTGTCCTCTCGCACTCTGGGGTTTCGACCAAAATCATTTCGTTGTATTTTCTGTCCCAGGACCTTGAGGTTACAAAATTATTTTATTTGAAAAATTAGCTGTTTAAGTGACAGAAGTAACTGGGTTTTAAGATGATGATTTTCTGGTTAATGATGCTTCTTCATGCTGGTTCTGTCGGTCTCTGTGGAATGTAGGAATTTATGTATAGGGACCCCAGAACAGCAGTGTCAGGAGGGCAGCTTCAGGAGAACCTACTCAGGAGAGCAGCTTCAGGAATGAAGACTCAGGAGTGCAGCTTCAGGAGAGCAATTTCAGGAGAGCAGCTTCAGGAATGAAGACTCAGGAGAACAGACTCGGGAGAGCAGCTTCAGGAATGAAGACTCGGGAGAGCAGCTTCAGGAATGAAGACTCGGGAGAGCAACTTTGGGAGAACAGACTCGGGAGAGCAGCTTCAGGAATGAAGACTCGGGAGAGCAGCTTCAGGAATGAAGACTCAGGAGAGCAGCTTCAGGAGAGCAATTTCAGGAGAGCAGCTTCAGCAATGAAGACTCGGGAGAGCAGCTTCAGGAGAGCAGCTTCAGGAGAGCAGCTTCAGGAGAACAGTCTCAGGAGAGCAACTTAGGAAGAGAAGCCTGGAGAGAACAGTGGCAGGAGAAGAGCCTCGGAGGCTCTGGCTGTACTGTGAGACCCCAAAGCAGATAATGTGTGACCTAAAGATGCCTGGAAAGTTGCTGCTCCTGTCACTCCTCTGTTTGCTCCACTGACCCCGGACCCTCCCTCTCCTGCTGTACACATGATTACTGTGGGAATTGTCTCACCGTCAGCTGTTCAGTCCCCCCCAACCTCGGAGGCGTCTGCCTTGTTCTCACCTGTTCCGTTCTGTCTCCTGCAGAACCCCCTGTCCCAGCCCTCAAACTGGAGGGGAACCTTCTTGTTCCCTTCTGTCCAGGTTACTGTCATTCTCCTGTCCCTGAAGCTGCCCAGTGTCTGTCCTGGATCTGTGGCACCTCTGTGGAGTAAAGTGTGGTTAGTGCAGCTCAGCCAGGCAGAGCTGTCTGCCTGATAGGGGACCTTTTTGCTCTGAGAAAAGACAGAAGTACACCATCCTAACATAGAACACACACACAAAAACTGTAGTACAGTGTGCTTGGAATGATAGGTTTCAAAGTTGATGTCGTTTTTGCGTATTTTGATATGAAGATATATTTTCTGAAGCGGTTCAGTTTAAAACTGGGTTCTCGTTTTCCCATCCCACCCTCCAGTCATACAGCATTCAGGTATGATCCAGGTGCTGCAACTTGCATCACGACTAATGTTTCTTCGTCTGTCCCCAAGCATATTTGAAGGAGCCTTGGAAGAAACAAAGCATGCTGGGTACCCCCGGTAGCGGACGTGGCTCGTGTCCTGGTGGTGCGAGTGAGGGCAGGGGTGGGGGGGGGGGGGGGGGGGGGGGGGATGTGGGGAGGTGACAGGGGGTCAGCTAGCCCTGCAAAAACGCCCTCCCCCTGCACCCGACATTACTGCCCGAGGGTGCTGATCGAAGCCACTTCCCCAAACTTAAAATGCACCAGTAGCAGTAGCTAACTCCCAGTGTACAGGGGGAACAATAAAAACCCATGACTGTTTATTTATGTAACACCCCCCCCCCCACGAACCCGCCCCCGCTGCCCTCCTGCTGTCCACAGCTACCTGCATTAAATGGACTTCAGCAGATCCTCTTAGAGGTATCCTTTCAATGCATCTCGCTTACCTTCCAGTACACGGTCTGCACTTGCTTATGCAATCAAAATCCCATAATGACCCTGTGCCTTAAAATCCAAAAAAACCCTATCGCGTGATTTCCTCCTCTCATCTATCACGGCTGGCAGATTTTATGTGCTCGTGTGTGTATATGTGCACGAACATGTTTGTGTGTGTTTCTCGACCCATCCCTGAGGTTCAACACCTGACCGGAGTCACGTTAGAATGTGTTTTCTGTTGTCTCTGTCTGGGTGCTGTTTTTCAGTATTTGACAGTGAAGGTTAAACTTTAATGCGACAACTTGATGAAAGAATATTGTGCATATTGTTACTTACTGAGCTAACATCATCAAATTAGCAGGAACAAGCAGAACTATGGAAAACAGGAGGGATAATGATGTAATTAAGATAATGAGTCAAACCCCTATCCAGATGAATGTGTGAAGGAGATGCAATTTTTTCCCCTTCCTGTCCTATTCTGTGTGGTACCATATGCTTGTACGGTATAACATTGGGATGCATGTACCCACAGTTTAATGTCACCCCAAGTCTTGCACAGCTCCACCGTCTCCTGCTCCAAATACTCGGAAATGGCTCACTGCTGACTTCTCATGAACTTCTCTCTCCTCAGATCATCCTCCCTCAACGGAACGGATCATTCCAGATCATCCCGCCACCAGAGGTACACACAATGAAGAATGGACGATATCGCTATTACTGTTGCAGATTCATCGCCTCGTTGCACGTTGAGGAGCCTGCAGTGGTTGTGCTTGTCCCAGCTTATGCTGGTGTTTGTGTGAGGACACAGAAGCAGGGCCTTAGATGGAAAGTGAAGTTCCAGTCTGTTGATGCGGGTTTCAGTTCCCTAACCACTAAGCCCTTTTGGACTCTTCACACAGCCATCATGCTGTAACTGGTGGCCCTTGTTGTGCTTCAGAAGGAATAATTCCATGGGTCTGGGAACCGGATCAGTAGCGGGTATCCCGTTGGCCCGCTGGGTGACAGAATCCGCTGTTCTGGGTGAGACCCAGTCAGCGCCAGCCTTCAGAGGAAGCCCCCGGCTGGTCTGGTGGAGGGGCTGCGATGCTCTCCATCATCCAGTTGTAAGCCAGAGGGTTGCTCTGTCGCCCCAGCAGGGCAGACGACCCCAGGTCTTGCCCGGAGCTCCACCACATTCACCACGACTGAGACAGCATTGTGGAGTCAGCACTAGGCCACCGCACACAGCAGGAGGCGCTCTGAGCCTGCAGGTTGTAAGGGGCTGATATTGTCCCGCATTGGCTCCTCCCCTTTCCTGGATGTGGTGACGTCAGAGACCAGATATACCAGATTGGGCTTTCGGTGAAACCGGAGTGGACTCGCGTTCATCGCTTCTGCAGAGTAGCTTCCGGTTCAGTCCTTGTTCTGAATATCTCCCTGCCTGGGACTGGGCCCTCAGAGGGGCTGTGAGCACTGGGGGTGTCCATAGGATTTCAGTACTTCCATACCGACTGGATAAGTATCCAGACAGCTAGGTGTAGTCCCCCAGAGGGAGTGACGTTGAAGTTCAGGCAGATGTACTGGGGGAGTGTTCAGTCCCGGCTCAGAATAAGCCACTGCTGCCTCAAAAACCACAACAACAAAATAACCAAATAACTACGGAACTCAAATACCCATTCCATGTGTGTCCACGATCTTGCTAGCAAATAAAAGGGTTTTTAATATATATATTGTTCTTTTTATATAGCTCTTATACAGTGGTTTCATCCACCCGTCCATTTTCTGAAACAGCTTGTCTTATTCAGGGGTCACGAGGGGTCCGGAGCCCATCCCAGAGGCTACAGGCGCGAGGCAGCGAACAGCCCAGGATGGAGCGCCAACCCGTCTCAAGCGGCGGTTTCAGGTTATGTTATTTTTAGCTGTTGCTTATTAGCTCACCAGCCTCCGTGGAACAAATAAAACGAAATCCACCAATTTATATAATTTTATTAGTAATAATAACAATAATGATAATTTTGCTGTTATTGTTACCATAATTGGTTGTTGCTGGTTGTGATTATGATGATAATACTTCTGTACAGCTCACGCAGCAAGGAGGGTGACGTCATCGTCGTCACATATAAATAAATATATTTGCGAACCAAATGTAAATTTAGGTTAATATATCCCCTTCTGCTTGCAAATTTATTAAAGCGAGTCATTTTTGTTATATTCGTGTGTGTGTGTGTGTGTGTGTGTGTGTGTGTGTGTGTGTGCGTGGGGGGNGGGGGGGTTGGGTCTATATTACTTTGTGGGGACCAAATGTCTCCCGCAATGTAATAAAAACCTGTTGTTTTGACGTTGTGGGGACCATTTTTCGGGTCTCCACAAAGATCTGTGAATGCAATCAAAAAAGCAAAAACGCCCAAAGTATCGCATTTTGTTTGGTCACTTATGGTTACGGTTAGAGCTGGGTCGGGGTTAGGCTCGTCAATTTGTGGAGTTTTCCCCAAAGGAATGAATGGAGAGTCCCCACAAAGATATAATTACAAACCTGTCTGTGTGTCTGTGTGAGCATATAAATTCGTACAACGCGAAAGTGGTTTATCTAATTAAAACTTAATAAGAAAAGTTGAAAGAAGAATTCATAAATAAGATGCAAAGTCGAAACAACAAATGACTGACTTTTTGCTCGCATGTACTTGTGATTCAGTTTAATTTACAATGTTTGCTTTAATACTTCCAAAGGTCTGCAGGACCCGATCGTATTTGTTTCTACATAAGATTACAGTTCAATCTCTGCGCTAAAATACAGCAGTACTGTCACATTGTATTTATTTTATACACATACAACAAGCAATCGGCAACTGTTTAACATTAAACCCAACAGGTGTTACGAAAAAACTGCTCTTAAATGGAATTCAATTGCAATACTAGATACATAAATTGATCATATTTAACAAAACCTAAGTATTAATTTTCCAATTATAGATATTCGATTTGACGTGTCGGTTGTTTTAGGTAATTGGATAATTATCTGAAATTTAGCATCTCTACATTCTGTGTCGTACACATTTTTATGCAAGTCGATTATAAAATTTATTATTGACTTGATATTTTCTATTATTAAAAATGTTTATTACTTCTAGTCTTTCCTTGTGTGATGCTATTGTCTGTGTAATATCCGCTAACAAATCGCGACATGCTTTGTTTTGCTCACGCATAACTCCAGTGATCCCTAAATAAGCCTATGCTGTATACGGGAGCTGCTCATAGCGATTTATTATTACGCATATCATCTATAAACATTACATATTACATGCAGCGCCGAAGATAATGTTTCATATTAATGAGATTTTGTGAATTAATGTGATACCTCCCTCCTGACACTTGCATTCAGAACACTACCGCCTATATTTTAAGTCGATATGTCAATCGCACTTTAAATATACCTGCCTCTTGGGCTTCCTTCCTTTGCACAATAAGTTGTTTTTACTATTTTAAGCACTTCACTGCGCCGGTGGAGGGTCCGCCTTCGCTGTGTGCAGTTGCACATCGTGTGTCGCTAGAGGGCGCCACGACGCCTCTCTGTTCGAGAAGAATTTCCAATTAACAGCCGCAGCCGCGCCTGGCCGTATGGTCCCGTAAGAGGTTGCCGTAGGAAAATGCTAATTTCCCGGCCCTGCGTGCCGCTATTGGCTTCGGACAGCCGTCACATTAAGGGTGGGAGGGACCGGGAGGCTGCGTGTATAAAGCCGCAGATTGCCCTTCGCCGAGCTTCAGGACTGCGCTTGTGCGGTAAAGCTGGTGGTCGGTTGGAGCGCTTGCAATGAAAGCGAACGGGAATTTGTTAGTTTAAATACACATGAATATATATATAGCTTATTGCAGAAGGCGGACAGCGCGCTGCATGCATTTCTTGGTAAATGTGCATGAAGTGAGCCGTGCTGAGAGAGGATTTGCAGCCGGGTGTCCCACTGGAGCGAACTTCTGCGTGTTTTTGTGAACATTGAACCCCTGACAGCCTCCTGCTGTCACACGGACCGGCACGCGGCAATTAGATTACGATCACTCTACATACCCAAACCGTTCTGTGAATTATTCTTCTTGTTATTTTTTATCTTTGTGCAATTGTTATATCATGGGCTTTTAAAGCTCATGCATCATACATGTTTTTTTTTCTTAAGAGACTGAAAACCAACTTGAGAAAAGACGGGAAGAAATATTCAGAAGTAGCCTGCAGTAAGTCGGGTTGGTCTCTGACTTCGCTGTCTGAAGTTTTCGTTTTGTGCTTGCTGTGTTACGGTGAACTTTTAATCTAATATAAGCTGTCAACAAGGAAACGGGCGATCTGACAGCTCAAGTTGTTATACTGACATCTGCAAAAATAATAGCTGTTTTTTTTTTTGCGGACTAACGATTAGACCGGGCACATTTCCGCGTGTACGTTTTGATTTCCAAAGGCCATTCCTGGTGGCGATCACCGTCATATTGGCATTACGGACAGGTGTCGTTGCATGAACTGACATGGCCACCGACATCGCCATGAGCGCCGAACTTCCCAACAGCCCCCTGGCCATCGAGTACGTCAACGACTTCGACCTGATGAAGTTCGAGGTTAAGAAGGAGCCCCCCGAAGCAGAGCGGTACTGCCACCGCCTGCCCACCGGCTCCCTGTCCTCCACCCCGCTCAGCACACCCTGTTCGTCCGTGCCTTCCTCGCCCAGTTTTTGTGCCCCCAGTCCCGGGACACAGCCACCCCCCAACCCCAACAACGGCGTGGGCGGCAGCATCAGCAACAACAACCAAAGCTCCACGAACAAGGGGCAGTTGGAGGACCTTTACTGGATTCCTAATTACCAGCACCACCTGAACCCAGAAGCCCTCAACCTGACACCGGAGGACGCCGTGGAGGCCCTTATTGGCAACGCGCATCACCACCACCACCACCACCATCAGCCCTTCGAGAATTACCGCGGCCAGCAGTACGCTGGGGAGGACCTGTCCACCGCCTCCACAGGACACCACCACCAGGCCCACCACCACCACCATCACCACCACCACGGCCACCACCTGCGTCTGGAGGACCGCTTCACGGACGAGCAGTTGGTCAGCATGACGGTGAGGGAACTGAACCGGCAGCTGCGCGGTTTCAGTAAGGAGGAGGTCATCCGCTTGAAGCAGAAGCGCAGGACCCTGAAGAACCGCGGCTACGCGCAGTCTTGCCGCTACAAACGCGTGCAGCAGCGGCACATGCTGGAGAGCGAGAAGTGCACCCTGCAGAACCAGGTGGAGCAGCTGAAGCAGGAGGCCGTCCGCCTGGCCAAGGAGAGAGATCTCTACAAGGAGAAGTACGAGAAGCTGGCGAGCCGCAGCTTCACGGCCAGCGGCAAGGACTCCCCCGGCGGCAGCCACGGAAAAGCCGGCTCGGCCGAGTTCTTCATGTGAGCCCTGTTTCCTTTAAAGACTTTTTAGGCGCTTTGGTCGAGCGACTATTTTTTACTTATGTTTTGTTTGTTTTTCTCTTAGTTTGAGGACTTTTTGTTCAAAGCTATTATTTTAACAACACAGAGTAATGTCATATTTGGATATTGTAAATACAGAAATTATATAGAGATATTTATGGAATTGTAAATGCGAGAGATGTATATGTCATGTGGGCGGGTCTGAAACGCTAGCCGCGACTTAGATTTGGTTTGGCCCAAGGTTTCCATAACGAGTTAAAGCTTTGAACTGAAGAAATTGAATTAGGATACACAGTTGTAAAAGTAGTGTAAGGGAGTACCCCAGATTTCTTGCTAAAAACTAATGGCACTGGATGCCGGCTTCTCACTGCGGAGATCCGGCCTTGGAAAGTATTTCGATCTGGAAAGGGGATCATCTTTACTTCGTCTAATTCTCATAGACAAAGTTTAAAAGGCATAGATCACAACGTTTTCTTAACATTATAAGTCTTACTGAAACTTATATCGATGTAACCCTAACGAAAGAGGGAAGCGGCACAGTTTTCTTGATTTTTGATTTACGCATTTTTGAGTGTCTTAATACGAACGAGTCTTACGAATGGGGATGAAGACGGGACGTCCGGACAAGACGTGTTTCCTGAAACTGGAATTAAGACACGCCGAAGGAGGCGAAGCAATACATTTTTATAAACGAGGTGTCGGACGGTCTGTCAGAGGGACTCTCAACTGGATCCACAGGGGAACCAATGTACTGTGAAAGGACTACACGACCATCACAAGTCTTGTATAGCAACTTTTAGCAGCCCAGCATGCAGGACATGTATGGTTTT